CAAATAAATCAAGAATTGCATGGATCCAACTCCTCTTTGCCAAGTGGCATTTGTCTTTAAATAGAAAAAGGGACAAATCCAACCCATTTCCCAATTAACTTCTAAATATGATCATAAATTGATCACAAGAGGATTGATTAATCAGCCAAGTTTGGAAGTCAAGTATAGTCAAATAAATTATTAGTTGCATGGGCCCAACCCCTTTTTGCCAAGTGGCATATGTCTTTAAATGGGAGGGGGCAAATCCAATTCCTTTCTTAATAAGCCTTTAAATCAGATCACAAATTAAAATCTTGTAGGTCATCCAAATTAAATGCTTGATCCCCAATCGGATCCGAATTGGGCAAACTCTTTGGCTATAAAAGGGGATGGGAGGTCTTCTTGTTCGGATGGTCTTTCTCCTATTCGGCTCTCCCCTTTCAACCACTACTTCCGTTCATTTCCGACTGCTTCCATTGCTTTTGAAAAAGGAAAGGAAATAAGTTGTACTAGGATCAAGAAAAAAGATTCTAACTCTTCAACTGCCGATGCACTGAAGTTGCTACAACTTCGTACCACATCAATAGGGGAAATTTCAATCTTCAAATTCCCATGATCCAAAAGGTTCCTGTCAATTATACAAGCGAGAATATTGCTTTCAGCCATTCACATCCTAATCATTGATTGAGTGTGAATAAATTTTCGTTCACACAAGATTGGGAGTTACTTGCTTCTCATAATTCCAAGTTTCAGTCGCGATTTCGGATTTTGTTCAAGACAAGAGAATTGAAGGGTTTTCTTTGCCAAAAAAAGAGTTTGTATCCCACTTAAATTTAAAAAAAAAAAGAATAAATTCCTTTGAATTTATCTGCATTAATTTCTGTGCTTCAAATTTAACACAAAATTTGTGTAAACAGAATTTTGAACCTTGATATAACCTTATTAAAGTCTTTTCATGATTAGAGACTAACCTCAGTTTTCAATTTGTTGGGGGTTTCATATAGGAGTTTATCTTTGCTCATTTCAGGAAAGCCACTTGTGATTTGTGAACACCTAACATCAGCCTTGAAAAGAACAAGAAAAACAATGCTGGGTATGTGTATCCATCATTAGAATGCTCGCCTTGAAAGAGAAATTTATTTTCCTCTTCAGATAGGGACTGCCATCCATCAGCAGGGCTGATTTGCACGAATCAGATAATCTATTTTTCCGGTTCCTTGTTGTGTCGATTCAACTCAATAATCCATCCAATATTGAACTTGATTTAACACAATGCGCTAAGGTTGTAAGGATTTATTCAAATTTAAAAAGAATAAAATACTGGAAACAAGTATATGGATCAAAAATACTTGGGGGGTGTTCTTTTTTTGGAATTTGAGAGTGGGGAAAGTTGGTCAATGGGATTTTGGTTCCCATTGACCAAGAATTTCTTGTTATTTTTTCAGATTTATGTAGGGACCAGGGAAAGTTTATTTTCCTGAGTACCACTTACCCGGGTAAGTGATACTCATCTCCTAGGTGAATAAATAACTTTTTCACTTAGGGGGAAATTTGAATACTTGAATGGGACAAAAATACCCCTTTTAATAATGGATTTTTATGACTAAAATGGTCATTGTCTTATTTATATGAGAAATAAAAGAACATGGGTAAATGCAGTTACCTGGGTAAGGAAATACTTACCCAGGTAACTGTATTTACCCGGATAAGTAACTTACAGAAAAGCGAATAAGGCCTTAAGTTTAGTTTGGAAAGAGTATAAATATAAATATGTATAATATAAAACCCTGTATTTTATATTATTTTGTATGTATTTGCATGATACATATTTACACTAGTTTTTTATATGAATTCATTTTTGTTATAACATACATTTGCACCCCACTCAGCATGCCCTATAAAAATCTCAAGTGCACATCTTAACATGCATTGGGAACATTTCTCTATTTACCATAGGAAAATGCTTCCAATACACGATTGAGATATGCTGTGGGGCACACTGTGTGGGGTGCCAATAATATCTCCTTTTAATATAGGGTGTTAAGTATGATATTTGATGTATTACTGTGGCTCCACCACAATTTAATTAAGATTGAGATACAGAAATGCATGGAAGGATTTGATTTCTGGTGAATTTTAACATTTAACATTGTTCTAAGTGATGACACCATATATGAACCATATATATCAAATAATGATGAGGATACAGAAAGAGCAAGAAATAGCTTAAAGAATGAAAGCTTGGAAAAATAAACAATTCCCACTTGCATATATATCTTATAGCCCATGATTTGCTGTCTCCGTCATGCTGAAAACAGTGCTTTTCATTGCCTCCTCCAAGAAGAGTGGATGATATTTAAATAGAAAGAGTTATGATGGGATACGAGTCTCATCTATGAATTGGACCTTGAAACGGGAAGGGGGAGTCCGGATTGAAAGCAGTTGATGGCTGGGCTCTTTAACCAATAAAAAAGCTCCACGTCAATCACATACAAAGTGAGGAATTGGAGTGACTGTAGAGAATATATATTTTATGGCTGACGTGGAGCGTTGTTATTGGTTAAAGAGTGTCTGACACAACCATCCATTGCCGCTAATACAGACTCGCGTCAATTCCGGGTTCGCTTTGGTAGTGGCGAGTTTTACACATTTTGATTTGTATGCGCGAATCGCGATCTACTCTTGCCTGCGAAACAATCGATCAATTGTTTTCACATGCCACGTGGCAGACCCACATTCCTGATGCATACATGATCCCCCACGAGCAGAAACTCGTATTTCTGACCTGGGAAAATCCGAAAGGCCACTCAGAGTCTGGCTTCCGTCAGGGTAAAGCCCCCCTGTTCCAACAACCTGCCTTACGTTGGGAATATCTCCGTATTTATGTAATTCATATGATGGAGATATATGCAAGGTTATAAGAAGCTACTCGAACGTTGCCCTGACAGAATACCCAGTCGCCTTCACACGCAATTCCCATCACAACCTCTTTCTTTCCCCTAAATGACTACTATCCCAGCTTGATGTGATTTTATGTGAAGCATTGAGAATCGATGTGGTAACCCTAGGTGGGTTAGGCCATCTTGACTCTTCACAGAAAAGGGAAAAAAAAGAAAAGTAATAATAAAAGGCTCTCACCTCTATGTATACGGTAGAATATTTGGCACGTATAATCCGTTATTTCACATGGATATTCTTGGGAGTGTATGATGAACTGTGTAGGCATCCTTTGGAAGAATATGCTCTTTAGGTTTTCATCTTTGGATGGTTCTTGATATCTAAGGTAGTGTTTGGTTTTATTGTTTTTTAAAAAGCGTTTTATATGGAAATTTTCCTGAAAAGTGGGTAAATGGGTGTATCCTACGCATAACCCAGTGCGCATGACAGTTAGGAGCCACTTAAGGTGATGTTTGGCATCGATGCTGATTCTTTTTATCTATATTTTCAAAAGTTGATTTTTGATAAAATTAATATCTTTTTTTTTAAATCGATAAAAAATTTGTTATTTGGTATTATTTCTGCCATGTAAGCTGATTTTTGAGAAATCAGCTTTGAATTTGTTTGGTGCTGATTCTCATGGGGTGATTCTTTTCTTTCTTTTTTTTTTGTATTAGAGTTATTATTCAGTGCCATGTTGGATCATATCATCCTCAAAAAATTAGAATCAGCTACAAGCCTACAAATCAGGAACTCACCTTAAGAGGTGATCCTTGAAAATGATTAATTTCAAGAATCGATTTTTGGTGATTTTTTTTGGCCGATTTCTTAAAAATCACCAAAATCGGCCAACCAAATAAAAATTTCAACACTGGATCCTCAAACGCTGACATGTCTTTGATATGGTAGTGATTTTCAAACAATCATCATGATGCCAAATATCACCTAAGTCAACAAGGAAAAAACGTTTTGTCATTTTAAGAAATATCATTTTGATGTTTTCTCTATAAAAGGATTTACGTAGGTCTTTGATTACATTGTTGTTTTCTCAAAACATAGCACTATATCGGAACCACATCAAAGATTCTCAAAAATGGCAAAAAATGCATCACAATCTGCTGTTTGGTTAGTCATTTTTCAAAAATCAATAAAAAGTGTCGATTCTCAAAAATTGGCTACACTTTTGGAAATGTCATTTTGACGTTATTTTTTGCTTTTTCCAAACATGGTAAGGGGTGGTCATTATTTTCATTGTTTCGAACATTGTTGTTTAGGCTCCATTTGGAAGGAGTACAAATATAAATATGTAAAGTGCAAAACATTGTATTTTGTATATATTTACACTGTACATATTTATATTTATACTCCTTCCAAACGAAGCCTTACCTGAAAAAACAATAAACCTTTGCATTATTATTTTTGGCAGTGGAACCAACACCACCCTAACCGAAGACAAATGTTTTGCTGATAAACAACTCAACCAAAAAAAAAGTAATGGAAGAAATAACTACATAATACTGGAGTGATTAAGAATAGTTTTTTGATAAATAATAATGGTACCAAACACGGCCTCTGTTATTGTCAAACGCCGAGTAGATGGATAGATTTATTATTTATTTATTTTGAAAGATAGATTTGTTATTTGTTTAATGCCAAATTCTCGTCTGGCCAAAAACTAAATAAAAATAATGCCCACTTGCAATTGGCCAATTCTCGTACCGTCCTAAACTGGAAAAAAGAAAGAAAACAATAATGTCATAGCGGCTAACTGCCGATGCCTGTTAGGGACAAGTTCGCCATTTCAAAAAAGGAGTAACTTTGTTGGGAAACAGGAGGTACGGAAAACCTGCTATTCCACACGTGTCAGTGTTCTATAAGGCAGACGGCGCGAATAGAAAAACTACGGAAATAAAAAAACTCCTGCAGCCCCTGATTCTGCCTCGGACCAACTTCGCTTTTGTTTCCTTCCCATTTTGAGACTTGAACAGGAAAACCACTAGCAGTTTAAGGAACCGAACTGGTCTTGTTTCACAAAATAAGTGGTTTCGAGCTCCTAAAACCGCTTTTGTAGCGTTCTTTGTAAAGCTGTTGATGCGAATAAAAGGACATTTAAGACATCTCAGGCCTACGACCTCCTCTATCTCTCTCTCTATCTCTGGTTTCCGCCATTAAACGTCGACGAGCTAAAGGTTTTCTTCGAATCTCTTCTCTTTCTGTTCTCCGATCTCTCACTTGATCTTCGTGGTTTCAAGTATTCTTCGTATGTTTGCTGATTATCGTTCGGCTTTCTTAGTTTTCTACCTTCTTAAGATTTTCTAGATCTTAAAACTTTGAGCTCAAGTTCACTAATTCACTCTCTTTCTGTCTCCGCAAGTTTAGGATAGAAGCCGGAGAAGAAACCCTAACACCCGAAGTAGTAAGGATGGGTAGAGGGAAGATCGTGATCCGAAGGATCGACAATTCGACCAGCAGGCAAGTCACTTTCTCGAAGCGGAGGAACGGGTTGCTGAAGAAGGCCAGGGAGCTCGCGATCCTGTGCGACGCGGAAGTAGGTTTGATGATCTTCTCCAGCACCGGAAAGCTCTATGATTTCGCAAGTACCAGGTCGGATCAAATATCTTCTTACATCTCTCTCTCTCTCTCTCTCTCTCCCTCTCCCTCTCTCTCTCTCTCTCTCTCGGTTATCTATTACCTGAAAATCTGAGTAGCTAGAGTCTATATTCTCAATAGTAATGGCGCTGCATCTGTAGGTTGGAATCTCTATATCGAATTATCATGTCTCATATAGTTCTATTGTTCTCCACTTTGTTTTTTCCTGAAATACGAGACTGATGTTGTTCAAGGAATACGATGAGTGAGTGACTGACGATTGACTAGTGTATGACTGTGCTAATTATTGGTATGCAAGATGTTTACAGTGAGATTGATACATAAGGTATATTGCATGGGAATGACCTAACGTAGTCTTCGCTCCTTTCGGACTTTGATATGTACTTGTTTCTGTTTTTTTTTTTGTTGTTTCATGGCTTGCACTTTGATTAATCGTCTCTATGATCACGCTGTGATTTCCTATAGAAGAATACTTCCGAAACCTTGAAGGATTCCACGGCTAGGATACAACTGTTAACGATGGCTTGAATTGTGAGCATGGTTAAGGGAATTTGCTCAACGTTTTGTCAGTCTTGAGACGTTAGAGGTTTCAGACTTTTCAGTGTTAGAGTCGCAGGCTCAATCCATTGGCTAGGTTCCTTGGAAAATAATAGCGGACTTTTTGAAGATGGGATTTTTTTTTCTTTGAGAGAAATAACAAGGTGTTATACTACTTCAAAAGATGAAGTAATATCAGCCCAAACAAAAACCAAGGCAAAGAATTACTGATATACAAAGAAGATCTATGCACACCTGATTTATCCAGAATCAGCAGTCGAGTTTAGCTCCTTAGGAATCCATTTGATTGAAACATGTAAGCAGCAATCAAGTCAGTAGCTTCGACCAAAAACTGATCCAGCCACCAAGGTCCTCCCTGGTTTACATTCAGCCACTTAACAGTGTTGTAGGAGTCACACTCAGCTAAAAATTAAAGAAGATGGGATTAACACTAGCGCTTCAACAGCAATTGTTTAAAGAGATTATATCTTATTATATATGTATCTAAAGAGTTGTATTTCTTCTTCTTTGGAAATTTCTTTTTCCAACGCTACTTATGAATCTCCCCCAAGTCTAGGAGGAATTCTGAGCTTAAAGTATCTTGAGCTTGTGTTTACTCCTAGGATGCTTATATGAGGCAACGAACTTTCCAATATTTGGAAAGATAAAAGCAGAAGATATTGTTGATCTTCCAGAGGAGGAAAAAGGGGGGGAGAGAGAGAGAGAACCTATTAACTAGGTTTATATTTTTCCTGGTAAAAACACATATATAGGTTGATTTTCTGGATGACGAAGGGCTCTATGCACCAAGGAATAGTTTGTGATGTCTGTTCGACTCGTGTGTGTGTTTGTGCGCTCGTAAGTTTTAACTCCACATAGAGTTAGGAGCGAAAGTCATGACCCTTGTTTCTTGGTATGTTATTTGAGCAAACTACTCACCCAACCCTATTTCATTATTTCGTGTCGAGATACCATGAAACTTGGAAGGATGAAAATTATATGACCAAAAAAAATGAAGGATGAATATTTTAACTGGTGTTAGGATTACTGAAAATTTCACTCCAAGTAAAATTAAATAATAAAAATATTGTTTTTAATTGTAAGAGAGGAGTGTCATCATGTCAGAAATGTTTATGTGCATACATACAGATGCAGATATGTATACTATACACTCTCTCAGTCAGAGGAACCGTTGCAATTCCAGCAGGAAACTTGGGCAAAGTTCAGTGTCAACCATTTTTTTTTCTGGTAGTGCCTACCATGCTGATCCCTAAAAATTGAACAATTAACACATAATTTGAAAAATTGAGGCATAGATAATGGTTTCTGCGGCTCCATGAAGTGTATTGGACACAACCTATCGGTTTGGATCCACAATTCATATTTGGAACCAACTCTTATTTCAACATTGGGAAGAGTTTTTTTTTTCCTCCTGTGGGATGACACCATGTTCTCCGAAAACTCAATGATTTTCTTCTTGGTAAAATGCCATACAGTTTTTACTTTTGTCCTTAAATAGTAATTGTAAATAAAGGGATCTCGCGAGTTCTATCTAGGTTAGATGAAGAAATTATAAGCACTTAGGCTATATTTGATTTGAAGGAAGAAGTAGGGAAAGGAAGGGAAATGTAAGGAGACCTATACAAGGTTTGTAAAGGTTTCCCTGCCTTTCCCTTCATAGCCGCAACCCTTAACACTCGCCCCTAGCCGCCGACTGGTTGTCTGCCAGACTTTTCCATCTATCTAAACAACAGAAGTGCTGATTGGGGCGGATCAAACACAAGCTATGATGCTTGCATCTACCCTAGGTTAATTTTTACTTTAACATGGTAGAATTTTAGTCTGGACAAACAACCTGCACCCTTGACAGAGTACATGACTCTACTTTTATGTTTATGCCCCTTACTTTGCGGGTGATGGTTGTGCACCTTATCATGTTGCTGCTACAACTATTAATGTTGGTTGGAATTGATGCCTTCCTTTGATTTGTAATGGCTTTGAAAGCGAAGTAGATGCTAAATACTGTGAAGTCTATGACTCCATATGTTAAATGCAATCACTTGGTGGTTAAATCCATTATATTTCTTTATTGAGAAAGGAAGTAGGGCAGCTGCTCCTTTGGTCCTAAAGCAGATCATAGTAATTCCAGACCGCCTGATGCATTAGGTAATATGTCATCGCTTAGAGCATGTTCTTAAGATTAATAGTCATTTTCCGTGTTTATAGTATAGAACCAATCATTATATTCTTTACTTTATCATAGTACTGTTTTAAATTGTTGTAATATAAAGGTAACTTTTTTAATCAACGCAAGACAAGCTATGACCGTATAATTAAAGATGAATGTTAAACTTCTGATTTAATAATAACATTCAATTTGAGTATTCTTTGCGATTAAATGTTAAATTTCTGATCTGACCATTATATTAAAGCCAAAACTACTAAGTTAGCTATCTAAAAATTACTGATTAATGTTAAAGACACAATGAAAAAGATTAATAATAAATGCAGAACATGCAAGCTCAAAAACATATATTCAACACTGACAACAATGCTCAAGCTCCAAACCAGAGATTAATTAATATAACAAAGAGAGGACCACAAAATCCAAATAATGGTTGGATTGTTTTTTACCATTTGCTATATATATCTGTGTGTGTGTGTAACCACCTGACCCATCATATAATCTCATCCAAGTTACAATTTATGTTGATGGTTTTGGGCCTGACCCAACACCAAACATCAGACAAGGACACATCAAAATAATTCAGAAGAGGACTATTTAAGCCCAACCTATCCAGCACTGAAATGCTTCTGAGCTCTCTTGGCAGTCTTATGTTCAGACTAAATATCAAAGACCTGTCTATCATCTTTATTTTTAGAAAGTTTGGTTTCCCTTTCTGAAGTAATATCATATAGTGTTTTCTTATTATCAATAATCTCAAAATGGATCTGCACCTTTTCTGGATCAACCATGGAAGTTCCTTTCCTCTTTTTAAGACATTCACTATGAGCTAAGAGTTGCTCTTAATAATCAGATGCCCAACTTGCAATATCAGACTACTATTATTTTGGTGAAATTATTCTCGTGGGGGCCCATTTAAATGTGTCCTCATAATATTTTTGAAACATCTATGTTTTAAAGCTAAAGGAAAATTTCCCTTATTTTACCTCAAGCTTTTTGCAACATTACTATAAAATTTTCTACATAAGATTTTTCATATTAAAATCGTTAATGATACTTGTTACGTATTTTAAAATAAAGTCCATGAACAGTTTATGTTTCGAATGCATATAATAAATCTAAACAAAACCAATAACTCAAACAGTCAAAAAAACCTCTAACAAATTACATCAACATTTTACAGATTTTAATAATTAATTAATAATTTCTTGTAATTTTTGAAGTTTAAAGATATTCAATACGTGGTAATTTATATAGATACAATTTAATAAATCAATGCAAATAGGTACGCATATCATGAATAGAAGGTTCGCAACTTGTTCAGATTTCTTTTTTGTAATTTTGAATATTTAAACACTATTCACATGTTGAAAAAAACATCAATTGAATTTTAAAAATATAAGAAATAAATGCAAAGTATAACTATTGAATGGAGTAAGAGAAACTCTTCCTAAAATATTCTCCAATTGCTATAAAATAACCAAATTGAGAAAAAAAAAACATTTTGGATGACTATTATAATATGAGGTATACTTTATGAAACAAAAAATTGGATGGCCAAGGCATGGTATGTTCTCATAATGGATAAGAATGATAAAAGATAGTATAGTATTGATGAATAGGTGTCTAGACCAGTAAAGGTGAAATTAAAAATAAATCTGTTTGAAGGTGGTTAAGGGGTTCAATACCACCACTGATTGATAATATGATAGTTAATGGAATGCTCTAATAATGTGCGACTGATGATTACACCATTTTTTTAAGCTGAAGGCATTAGATGAAAAGAGAACCCACTTAGACTCTACCAACTTAGTGAGAGACGCCAAATGGTTGGGATTAGGATTTATTGATCTCATGAGAACCTATAAACCTTCAGTATTAATGATTACACAAATTGGTTATCCCATCTTTTGCACAAAATTAAGGTGCATAACACAATCATCTTGTATAGACAACTTTTGAACTATATCATATGATTGATTCTGCTCTTCAACATTACTTATTGACTGTCAAACCTACTTGCTTACCATAAGGATTCAGCCATGCCATTTACCTAAATATGTGACTCGTAAGAAAGACCAACATGCTTAAATGTTCATTTCATGGGGCATGGCTTGAATATTCCTTGGATTATCAAGGGATTTACTGCAGCTCCTTTCAATCTCATTGAGTGATTAAAGTAAGGCCTGTATGTTTGATTAAGCATAAATTAAAATGAAAAAAAAAAGTTAAAAAAGCACCATTTTGGTTTCCTTAATACACTTTTGAAACATTTTTTATTTATTTTTTGTTATAAAATCCATCAGCTTAAGTATCTTCTATTAAGTCCATCATTCATAACATCATTAAAGAAAAAAAAAAATCAAATGTTCAATTTTTTATGTTATTATATCTTTTGGACTAGTATGTTAAAAGGTATTCATTCCAATTGATAGACTAAACTGATCTATTTCAAAGTATCCAATATAGAGTTTTAGATTATTTGTATGACCTGTCATAATCAAAAGGCTTGTTCAAGTATCTAAAAATATTTCATATGTTTAAACTTTTGTTTTAGTTTGTCAATATTTAAATATACTTGATTTTAACCTTTCTCTCTCTCAAAAAAAATAATAAAATAAAGAGAGAAGAACTTATTGGGTATTTAAAATACTTGAACAATAGATCTATTCACTTTTATATGATTTATGCAAAAATTTAAGTTATTAATAATTATTAAAATGTTATGTATATTTACTTTTTCTTTAATGTTAGTAGGTTAACTGTTACATTTGGACCTATAACGTATGAGTATGGAAATAGCAATTTTGCATAATGTCAACTAAACACAGTATATAAGATTCATATTATATATAAAGGTAGGACATGATTCCTTAACTTGATCCATGACTCCTCACTTACTCCACTTCTAGGTCATATAAGTCTAGATTAGCTACTAAGCCAGCAAGCAATGCTTTAAGAGCATACCAGTTTTTTCTTTTTTTCTTCTTCAAAATAATCTATCTCATTGCCTCATCATGATCTTTGGTTGTCTTGTAGCAATAATACCAGAAAGAGAAAGCAGTTACCTTACCCAACAACCAAATCATACCAATATCCTAAGGCTATGTTTGGTTTGAAGGAAAATGTAGGGAAAGGAAGGGAAAGGTGGGGAAACCTATACAAGATTTGTAAAGGTTTCCCCACCTTTCCCTTCCTTTCCCTACTTTTTCCTTCAAACCAAACATAGCCTAAAGTTTTACTTTGATGATCCAATATAGGATTTGAAATGTCATTTTTTTTCAATGCAAACAAAGAAGGGATTTCCTGGAAGTACTTGGAGGTTGTTTAAGATTGAGGGTCTGTTGATCTGCCCATCTTTTCACAAGCCCATCAGCAACCTCATTACACCCTGTGACTTCATGAACCGCCTGAAAGTTTGTACCTCTCATTAGCCGCCTTACTTTTCTCCGCCAATATCTGAAATTCCAGTAAATCCTTTCTTTCCAATGATGAAAGATACTACTTTCAAATTACTACTAATCATAGAGTCGGTTATTGAAGTGCAGTGCTATCTAATGTTTAAGCCCATGTCAAGCAATGACTAGACCTCTTCCTGATTATTCATATATTCATATCTGTGGCAAAATCCAAGTACAAGATCACCTTCATCATTCCTGATGCAAACGCCTACGCTTTCTCTCGAAGCTCAGCTATGTTTAATTAGATGTGACTAGTTGTGACTTGTGATTTGGCCTAGTGTTAATATGAGTTCTCGGTCTGCTCATCACAGAGTGCACCTCACACCATCCTCACATCGCATCGCATTGCAGCTGTGCCTTGGGAACATCTTCCCATAAATGATAACATTATGTACACGGGATGTTCTCAATCCTGCAATGCTCTGCGAAATTGGTGTGAGGAGCAAATTCAATGTCGTGTTAATATACAAATTGTTGTTGGGTGATTCTTATGATTAAAGGAATCCATATGACAAAAGAGAACTCAATTCATTGTTCCATTTTGGTCTAGGCTCTGCTTGCTTGCAGTGCAAATTTGAACTGGATGCATTTGCACCCAATTCAGATTAGCATATGTTTATTTGTGAGTATTGTTTGTACTCTTACCTGATGCAAAAATTGTACTATCTTAATTAGTTGTATCACCTTCTTCCTACTTGGATTTCTTCTCATAGAGTAGAGATCACATAATTCGTATTTTGTTTCTCCTAAATAAATAACCTTCCTATTACTTTCTTCTCTTTCATATAAGGTGGGGACCAAATCATTTTACTTCCCATTTTACTCGAGAAAAACATAACGTGATATCAAAATCAAACAAAAATAATAATAATAATAATAATCATAATCATAAAGAAAAAAGTAAACCAGAATTTGAACCAGCTCATTTGTATTCCCACACATTTACACCAATGTAAATTTCATTTTTCCCTGCAGTCTAGGAATGACATAGCCATGAGAATTATTTTTTTAACAAGCATATATCCTCGTATATTGTTATTATTATTATTATTATTGGAAAATAGAAGTGTATGATAATTTTTTTAACAAGTCATCGTCTTTTTATCTATCAAAAAGTCATATTCCTTTTGATAATTCAATAAAAGGTAAAAAGAGAAAACGTTCACAAGTCATAATTTGACAAAGGAAATGGCCGTTGATAAAGTAGAATGACAAAACAGAATTTGTGTAGTTAACCATGATAAGACTTTGGGGGGGGGGGGATGTATGTAGCTTACTGCAACTCTCTCTATCATATTTTGTTAGCAAACTGGATGTACTTCTGAGACATCTGACAAACTTCCATACTAAAAGATGCTTCTCCCATGAATGCGTCCATTTTAAATGTTTCTGGCTATCTAAGAATCGGATTCGAAACGTTTGGTAACAGCTGAAATTGCTGAACTGAATAACTTATGCTTTGTCGTTTAGCTGATATGTTTTTATTGTGAACTCCATTTTTTTTCAAGGAAAAGAAAGTTTTATTTATGCAAATAAATAAGGTTGTGAAGATGAAATTTGGTTGATTTATATATGCTTAAATATTTTTTACTGAAATATTTTATTCATTAAAAGACAAATTAATAAGTTATTCAATTCAGCCACTTCAGCTGTCATCAAACATAAATAATAAGTCATTTAGTTCATGTACTTCAGCTGTCATCAAACATCCTTCCTAGGAAGATAGTAATGCCATTTTTTACTTGCATGGACAAATAATGACTCAAATAAGTACAATTTTATTTACCTCTATCATCACATTAAGTAGCAATATACAATTAACTTGAACTGCAAATGTTAGAAGAAATTAAGAATGGGTGGGGAAGGGGTTTACATATAATTCCCCAAAACCTGCATCAAACCTGGTGGTAAATTATGAAGATGTACCTAGGTTTAATATTAATTGCTAGAATACCTCTGAATTTCCCCCAAATTCCAAAAACCCCTAGGATCTTATGATCCGGATTCTAAAATGCCCCCAAATCTCCATAACTCATCTCTAAAATATCCCAGATTCCCATAATCCTATTTCTAAAATAACCATAAATATGTTGTAGGTACTAGGTAATTGTCTTAGGATAGAGAAAATTAGGGGATTCCCCCCGTCCTCAATAAGGAGGAAGTGCCCCCCAAATCCGCCCCAGGGAGGGGGTGCCCCGCCCCATTGCCATGTTACCTTGTATAAGAAATTCCATTTTTTACTTGTGTTCTCAACTTTCATAGAATAGCATGCAACAGTGTAGGGTTGAAAAAGATGGCTAATAATTAATAAAGGTAGAATATTTAGGATAGTTAAAATTAACAAAGGTAGAAAATTAGGATGGTTTGATATGCTTTGCTTGACATCTTCCTTTCTCACTGTGATGCCAATACCTTTTTTGTTGAATTTCCTTTTATGATGAAACATTTAACAATATATAATGAAATGTTCATAAATACAACATGAAGCTAACAGTTTTACCACTGCTGTTAACAGCATGAGATCAATAATTGAACGATATAACAAATTAAAGGAGGAGCATCAACTGCTGAATCCAACCTCAGAAGTCAAGGTATTCATTTGACAAGCATTTTCACATTTTTTTTTTCCACTGCGTATTCTTGCAATAATAGAAGTATGCTTGAAAAATAGCTATTGTTTCATCAATTTGCTCCAAGTGCTGAAAGGATACAAATGGAATTGTAAATACCTTGTAATAGGGAAATCTAAAACTTTTGCAATCAGATTCTTTTGGAACTGTTAAAAAATAATGGTGAAAAGTTAATAGAAAAAGCAAAAAGTAAAACAAGGAAAAAGTATATGATTGGAGGATGAAGACTATCCAGTCCATAAAAATCATATAAAAATGCCAAAAGGTGTAGGTAAAACAGCTATAAAATATGATAAGTGCCACAGGTTTGACAGTATCTGACTATCTGGCTAAAACCTACACCATTTATAGGTATAACATTTCTCAAACTTCATATAAAACCAATGTCATTTCACAAAGAAAAGCTGAGAACTAGAGTGTCCAAAAAGAACATGCTTGATCACTAAAAAGTTCTGTGCAGAGCCTTTATAGCCTGGTGGTCTACCCATGTTAGTCTAGTATTCCAATTAAATTCCACTTATTTGGTGAAGAAAAGTCACTCTAAGTTGATTATCCTCTGGTTTTTTCGTTATATTGCTGCTATTTTTATCACGAATCATCATCTAGCTGCTAAAATTAATGTGGAACATTCTAAAGCAAGAAATTCTGTAGAATGGGACATAGAAATGGAGAATCGTACAATTGATTGACAAAAGCAGAGAGGAATGGGGCTAAAGATGTTTCCAACTTATGGATATTGCTCGGTAAGAGGCTGAAATGGAAGTTTGTAGAGTAAGGCCAATAACATGGCAATTCATTCATGGAATAGGAGGTGAAAGAAATAATAAGGTGTTAAAGGGTTAGGCTTTGGAAGGAGTAAATAAATTTTCTAAAGATCTCAAGAAGTTTTCTTTCAAACTTGAGAGAGGAAATTGCGTCAGATTTCGGAGGAATCGAAGTGTAATGTACTAACGTGAGCACCCTTTACTGCCTAGCCATTGATCACAGATACTGAGAATCGCCACAGAACCGGATGGCTGCTAGGTACATTGGTGTGGGTCCCTTGATTTGCAAGAAGGTGAAAAGCTGCGAAGTTAAATACCTAGGATATACATGCCTTTGCATAGGATATAAATATAATGAAGAAAATACATGATACGGAAGACCAAATCATGGGCTTTCTTTGAATAGGGTATCTATTGTTATTAAATTTATTTAGAATCCCATATCCATATCAAAACAAGGTTCATAATCATAGCATCGGTAACATAAAGAGTAGAAGTCAAAGATATGAGTGGATATGGTAGGGAAATTCATATAAATCTGACATAGTATAAATATATACGAACACATTGTTGGGAGGAGGTATTGGACTGGATTAGGAGTGGTTTCTCCTCAAAAGAGGAAGGAGAGTCTCCGAAGGGAGCAAAAAGCCTTTTAGTATGGGGCTAGAAGAAGAATGAGAGAGTTGTAGGGGCTTGAGGGTATCGGTAGTGAAATGCTTGGGATTTGACGACCTCTAACGTGAGGGAGGTCCTCTATTTATCAAGAAGATCCCGGGATCTTAAAGGGTAGGAGGTGAGGATCTTTTCTCCGTATCGGGAAGGAAGTACATTCTTTATTGGCAATCACTGGATGTGTTATTGGGCATCGCCATGTGTCTCATGAAGATCTTCTCAGGGATCGACTTTCCTTATCCTCAAGATTCTTCATTACTCGCGTGTGTTACTACCTTTTTGCGCATCGTGACCAATCCTACGTGGTCAATGGTGACGTCACCCTTCAGAAACTGATGAGGCTCGGCCTACTGTCCTCTCTGACTCGTTATCCGAAGTGGGTTCGCAGGCTATGGGTTTATCGTGGTTTTGCTTAGCATGTTATGGGTTCATCACTATTTGTGATTGCTTCTATGGTGTTACTCTTGGTATATGAGTGTTCTTTGAGGGTCTGAATGAGGTGTATATCCCTACACTCTTGGTATATGATTGTACTTGTCAAAGAGCACATTGTCTTCTGTCTTTCCAATGTTTGGTCTGGTATTTTTGCTTGTCTTGGGCTTATGTGAAAATTGCATGCTTCCTATGCTCGCGCTTGGTGATTCATGATGATTGAAGGTTCAACCTCCCTGTCTTTTGATGATTTGATTTCTAATGGTAGTCAATGTTGCCTGTGTGGTTTAGCCCCCGCCTCCTTCTTATTGCTGTCAAGAAGGAAAATCATCAAAAGACAACGAGACGCCAGATGGGGAAGAAGGTGTTGGACGATGGGATCAGGGAGTATGTAGTAGCTAAGCTGCGGTCGTAATCATCATAGCTTCCAGTTGGATGTAAGGAGTGACACATGTGACATTGGGGTTTTGAAAGTTTGAACAACGGCATTGGGTACATAATTAAATCTCAATAGGTGTTGCGCGACGCTCCGTCTCCCTTTAGGTTTTATTTATGAGTCGTCATTATTTGAGACGATCCGTTTGAACATGCTTGTTTGGCTCCCCTTGTCACTTGGTCGTGGTAGTTTATAAAAGGGTTTCTTATGCCCTATCCGCGACATTATCAAAGTTCGGTTTGCGCTTGATAGCTCGATTGTCCCTTTGCTATGTTTCTATACTTCGAAGTTGGGAATGGCTCTTAACCATCACGATGCTCAATTGGTTGTCAACGAATTAGTGGGTTCCAATTCACCATCTCTGGAGGGGCCGGTACTGACATCAGAGTATGCCATAGTCCATCAAAGGCTCATGCAATATTTCGAGCAGAATGTGATAGCCTCTTTGGGGTATGAAGTCGTTGACGGCATTTATGTTCGGGGTGTGCGTTCGGGGGACTGATATTTGGTAACACGGAAAATAGTGACTTTTGCACAAACGATTGTCCAATTTGGTTGGCTGCCCCCAGTTGAACTGTTTGCTTGCATCATCAGTCCAACGTTGAACACGCTCGCGGCAATGATGTCTGAGATAATGAACCTCCCCCACGATCAGATTTCATGGAGTGTCCTAGCGCGGTGGTTGAAGACCTGTGAAAGCTTTGCTACGGTCGGCTTTCAAGTCATAGAAGTTGAGGATCGTGTCATTCGACTGGCGCACGTATTTTAGAGGGTGGGTCTCGGGGACTCTTCGTTGGTTTATAGGCGATCCATAGCGGATGTGCACCATCATGTGGAGGCAACGGAGGTCAGTTTGGAGGAGGCTACCAGGTGTCTTGCAGACCTCGAGGCATAGTGTGCTTATCAGTGTCGTATGGTGGCAGAGTGTGAGGTAGAGATCGGTGAGCTAACGACATATGTATCTTGGGACATCTGCTTGGGGGTATAGAAGCGACTCGGGAGGAGTGGATTGCATTGTAAATTCTTATATTATATGCTTTTTGCTTTTTGTTTTCTTTTTTGTTTTGATAATGTACACCGATTTTGAATGAACCCCAACGAAGTGTTATGTATTTAATGTTATTGAGTAGTCGTGTTGTGTGTTTACCCAAATCCGGATGGTTCGCAGCTAGCTCCGACAGCGATTTCAAACTGTTATCGTGGTCAAGGCCTCGCTGGCCGCTCTGTGTATGGTGGGCGTACTACTAGTTGTTTTCAAACTACCGGTGTGGGCGGTAGGCTTTCATGAGCAACGACTAGCTTAGTATTGCGTGTCTTTTTTGTATAGTGCATGCAATTTGATTGGTTGTCATCGTATCTTCGAGGGCTAGGAACAAAAGTTCTTTTTTGCGAGGAAAATCCATGTGGCATCCGGTAATGATTTACTCCCCATCGCCAACCCAAGATTACTGCGATTTAGTCACATGTGTGGGTTGGGATTGAAATATGATAGGATATGGTGACCATTACCGTCCATCGCTGTTACGGTACGGGGCAACGAATTTGCATTAAATGCGCCTTTGGTCTCGCCTCCGAAAGGGACCTTTGGGTAATTTCATGAGTTTAGTTGTTATAAAAGGGGCAGACGGGCTACTCCCATATTATATATAGTTGTTGCCATTATCTCCTCCATTCGACCTTTGGAAGGTTGTTCGCTAGGTGAGAAGAAACTCTTCTGCTTTGTACTGCTTTCAGGTCACTCAATCTATCCTCATAGCTACTCGAATCATTGGTGTTCACGCATGCATACTTTCTTGGGTGTGTTTGGCGAATTTACTATTACAGTGGAGGATGTGGTGGCGTTATTAGCATTGCCAGTTGGGGGTGCGGTGTCTACAAAGCACTTGCAACATATCGAGTCCATCCTGCCGAAGTTGAAGGAGTTGTGTGATGAGCTTATTGGGGAGGTTGCCCCTTACAAGGCGTTGGTGGACCGATCCTCTTCATGGGGAAAAATGCCACTGGATCAATGGATGGCTTACTGGTTCGAGTGTCGTGGCGATGGGAATGTCATGGTACGAGGTGCAGGTTCTTAGTACCACCTTGTTGCCTATATTCGGTATGTGGCCTCTCGCTTCTTGTTGTTAGGGATGTTGGATTATGGTCTCCGCACCGTTATGATCCCCTTGGCTGTATTTGCTACTAGCAGGTATCAACTCCCCTTGGCATCGATGTTTCTTGGCTACCTATACGAACAGCTGGACGACACTGTTCAACAGCAGAACGACCCTAGTTGTAGGAGGCGTGTGAGCTACGTCTTCGCTTTGTTTATTTGGATGTTCATATGTGAATGCTTTGAGCTCAATGTGAAGCCTTGAACCCTTCATCCTCTCTGACTTCAGATTGCTACTCTCAATGGTGATGAATCTAAGGAGAAGGTTGTGGAAGTGTGTAGGGGGAAATGGTGGCCTCACGCAAAGAGGCACAAAAATTTTTAAATTTATGAGATTAGTCTGAAATTGGCCTCTTTGGATGGATATATATGGAGACCATATGCTCGTATAGTCCGCTATGTTGTGCCGTTCTACATTGGCGTGCTTGTCCCGGAGGGTGGAGATAACCAGTGTGCTCTTGAGATGGGAAGTGCTGTTGTGAGAATGGTGCGAGTAATTTTGTGG